TCAGAGTAAATCCCTGTTCAACATGAGTCTGACAACTAAGTAAGTAGATAAATAACTTTAGACTTTAACACATGCTCTGATAGGCCGGGATCGGATCGGATTAGAAGGGAAAAAAGCTGGATGGGGGACGTACCTCCTCTGGATGCGGCACCTGGAGCTTGGTCTCCGCCGGAGCTTTGATCACCATCACGGTCTGACCCCTCCAGCTGGGAAACCTGCTCAGATCCTCGTGGGTCAAGTAGGCGTACGTGATCCGGGAGGTCAAGGATGACCACAAATAACGGTCAGAGGATTAGCTGATCAGCCGGGAAAACGTAAAAAAACCTGCTCTTTAACTCATTGACTGCCAGCCATTTTCAGAACAGAGAGTCCTATACTGCCAGAGTTTTTTTTAGCATTTTGACTGATTTTTCAAGAGCCACAGAATAGTTTGTGCTATGACTATGTAAACACCGAACACGCCAAAAGAAAGAGTAGACTCTCTTCTTTCATCAGGAAAACAAAAATTGTTTCTACCTTATTCCGTTCTTCCTGGACTTGCGTCTCACCGGCGACATATTCTCTCATAGCGAACTGTTACCTTTTTCTTATTTGCCTACAGTCTATGCTCATCTCCCATCAAAAGTGGCACTGCCCCCTAGAGGGTCAATTTGTTACTACATAGTCTGTCTAGAAGCCTGATATTTACGGAAAAGCTTTAGCAGATCGTCCCCCAGCCACTCTCGTTGAAAAACATAAAAGACGTCTATAGACGTCTTTGGCAGCCAATGAGTTAAGAGAACTTTAGCTTTTGTGATTAAAGGGGTTCCAGGTTTGAGCTTCCAGGAAAAGGATATCTCCAACAGTAACTGTCCTCGCACAGGTTCTGGATCTGCCCGGTGCAGCTCTCTATCAGCTCGTCCAGGTTCTTCTCCTTTTCCTTTAGAGCCCTTAGTTCTCCATTCAGACCAACGTTCAGCTGCCTGCCCCTGTGCGTCAGAGCACAGCAGGATTAGCGGACATGAGGGAATACTGAGGAAATCAAAGCTCACCGAGTAAGAGAAATGAAAAGCAAGACCCTGTTTTAAATCTAAGGACCAAAGCAATGATTACAGCCATCATCCGGAAGCCGCTATCCACTTTTCTAGCCTGCTATTTGCTTTCAAACAAGTCCCTGAAGTCTTAGACATTTATGAGGACCCCAACATAAAGCCGGTGACAGTAACTGTTTTAAAAGGTTCATTGCTCCTTCCATAGTTTTCATTCAGGGTTAAGGGTATTATCCAGGCTTTCAGGATTTTCTAAAGAGACTTTAAACAATAAAAACTGTAGAAAAGAAGATGATATATAACCGAATACATAACAGAAATATTTTGTTTGGGTATCTTCTCCCAATACTCCGCAACCTCAAATGACTGTTTTTTTCATTCCTCCAATCTTAAACTGTTCCATGGCCGAGCCTGTTGGAGGTAAATTATTCAATTTGGTCGAATGAAAACAAAGAATCGTTAATTCATTGGTTTCACTGAATCCATCTGGAATTACATCTCTATTTCCATAAGGATGTACACATTGAGATTACACTGGTCACTCCAGATGCCATTCAAGATGCGCATGATGCTTCCATTTAACACAGAGTGATGCTTTTTCGTTGTTTTTTTCCTTTTCTTTCTCTTTTTTTTTCCTTAATGGGTTTGTCAGGCTTTGCTATCAACCTATGTCAAATGAGAAGACACTTTTTCTTTCTTTTTTACCCAAAGTTTCCTAGTATTATATAGCACTGCGTTATGACTGACTGATTTTATGGAGAAGAATTATTCAGAAAGATATATGTGCACAATATTTAGAGATGACTGACATTTGTCATCGTCAAAAAATGGAGCAGGGGGACGTATTTTTTCAATAAGCTTTGCCCAACATGCATGTTCCGATCTGCATGGTGGAGATAAACCTTTACTATGTTTCCTGTAAAAATAG